GAGAGATGAAGAACCTGGAGCGTTCCTGATCAGGAGTCGGAAGCCTTAGAACCCAGCGTGCTGAAACCTTTGTCATGCACAATTCATTCAACTCTCCTGAGCAATGCCTACTGTATTGGCTGCATGACGCAAGGTCAGTCGTTGATTATTCATAATCATAGCATGTAGTTATATCATTTTCTTTTGTGATGGCACTTGTAGGTCTTCCTGATCTTGGTTCATCTTCAAGGCTCTCTCTTCTGGTCTTCAACTCCACTGCCCACCTCTTAACAGTGGCAAAGAAAAGTGTATCACCCCCTAAAGTTGTGACCATGTCATCATGGATGGCTGATGGAGTTAGCCCTTTCAGGTGGAGATACTTCATGACAGTGTGGTAGCTAATTTTGTCCATTTTCATCAGCAGATAATACCTTGTCACTTGTTGCCTTCAGATATCCTCCTTTGCATGGATATTTTTGTACTAAATAAATACATGCACTGCTAAGTGTGTACTATACATCCTTCGTAGTTAGGCTTCAACCAATGCGGACAGATCTATAGCGCAAGCCCACCGAGATGCCATGCCGCACTTTAACATGGCTATCCTACTCAGACACAGTATACAGCCCAGTCCTTGTGTCATCCCATTAATGTCCAGCGTCAGGCAGGGAAACAAGAAGTACAATCTTTTAAGGTCTATTGGTCTTACCACTGTTGCTCTCCAAGCAGAACGCTCTATTTAGTGGTCCACGGAGGCGGTCTGTCATAAAAGTAAAAGGACTCCCATTTTGTTCACGACCTTCTGAAAAACTCCATGACAGTGTTTCTTATCTCACCATCAAGCTTAAGGCAGTCAGACAAAGGCGCCACTATTTTCCACCTTTAGCTTCAGGCTCTGCTTGGTGGAATCCGAAAACCTAAAAACGCCTCACCTTACTAGTAGTGAAATTCACGAATCTATTCATCAAAGAATGTATTGTATGTAAGCCTTTGGCACTTGATATGTCACATCAAACTAACATATCTTCAGGCAAAAAGAACAGCATTTCTCAGGCCATACCTCACGAGAAAAACTACTTCTTAATTGCAACTGATCTGTTTTTAAACCAAAGACAGTTGATACACAGATAGCACACCATTTCACGGCACAGGCCGCCTACATGCACCTCCTTTGGCCCGACAACCACAATGATTCTTTTAACCGTCATATATCCAGACATATTAAAAACACATGAACAATTTTTTTTCAAATTTATTGAGTACAAAATTACAGAATTTTCATCTCCTGCAGGTTAAATACATCATCTAACTGATTTCATGAGGTATGACAATATGTCTTGTAGTAATTTTGATGACTATATCTATGTATGTACATGATTATACTCTAGAGGTTACAGGCACATGCTGACTGCAAACTGCATTCTAGTCAACACGTTACTTAACACTAACACACAGGCAAATTAACTAGGTCCCAGTACACAACAATGAACGATGATGGTGAATCCTTGTGGTGAAATATCCTTCTTGCATAATGACATTAAATGATCTTGGCACTATGGTATGAATTTATGAAAACAATAATGACATAATAATTTAGCAATACCCTTTGAACTTCCTCGCAGAACAATTAACCAATTGTGGCATAGGTGCTCAGATGGAGTATTGTTGCATGAATTATGTTTGGTTTTAGAAGATTTCAGATTCTGGGTCTACAATTGCAGAAGATTCTCTATCCTTGGATTACAATTGCCTGCACAAAATTTCTATAGCTGGGACTACAATAGGTGCACATTACATTCTTCATATGTAACCTTGCTAATTTGCCTGTGTGACAAATTAATCTTCTCTCTGTTTACAAGCTGATTTTAATACAACAGGCCATTAACTTATATAGTCTGTACAGTGTATGGGATGTAAGTACAATGAGTGTTTGGCGATAAGGTCATACTTGACTCAAGGGATAAGGACAGTGAAGATAGAAATCTTAGGCTGACAGGGTAAGCAAATTCTATTGTTCTTACAATTAACATTCACAAATCCTACATTGTAAAAGCTACTTTACAACTGATTAATTCTTTTTTTTATAAACTGATACCAAAAAAATAATAATTCATTTCAATGTTGCAAACAGATACTTATAAAACAGAACATTTTTCATAAAACCAATTATAACGTGATTGCTGAGAACTCCTTAGTAAATTCACTTACACTTAAAATCTGACACTGACTTGATGTTAAACGACTAAACGAGTTAAAACAAACCATTATTCTTATTGAGATTACTTTTGAACTATTTGCAAACTCAAGTCCATCCATGTTTATCCCCATCAACCATGAAGTGAGTATTTACAGATGAACAGTGAAGTGAAAGAAAAGGGTGAAAACAGTGAAATTATTCTACATAGAACAACAAGGAAGTAGCAGTGTTCATGTGTCAAGCATTTGACACAGTCACGACACATTGGTGGGTTCTCACCCACAGCTTTGGATCAGACGAACGAGCACCAAAGCTTTTCAGGTACATGCTGATTATGAAAGACATTGAAAATGAAAACCTAACAATCGCAAATAACACACGTAGGCAAACAACCAATTGACAAACGTCCATTCACACACATAATCTAAGATTGAAGTCAGACACACATACTTCCAAATCAAATCTGTTAGAGCAAGCCATTTAATATAATAGTGATAGAGTGTGTTGGGATTAGCACTGCTTTGAACTGTATTTCAGTTATATAATGGTGTGTCAGCTTGATATGGGAGGAAAACCTGAAGTGATGTTGGTGTAGACGTTATCACAGTAGTGACACCAACAAGCATGGGTACGGTCTTGACAACCCAGAAACATAATCAGGGAGACAGAGATTTGTGCCCATGATCACAGGAGTCTGGCACACCTAAGGGAAGCAACTCTGCAGAGCAAATTGCAGCACCTTAGATCACCGAGCTACCCTTGTCCCATATAAAAAATATCACCATTTCAAAAATGTGGTGAGAAATAATTATTATAAATTATTGAAGACTGTGACTGTCTTGGGTTTTTCAGTACATTATTCCTTTGTATTATATTGTCATGTGTTAAGAGCAATAGTCTGGAGGTATCACAGTAACACCACAATGGGCTTCACTCATAGTACTCATGTGGGGAATCAAAACCGGACTCTTCAGTGTCCCCAGTCAATATTTATACAACTAGGCTAACCTCCCCATCAATCTGACAGCATGTCTCAGACGTAGTTGACCAGAACAATAAAAATATGACAGCCAACAAGTGTTGATTCTACTCTTAATTACTCTTCTCAGAAACATCTTAAGATGAAATCTCAATCCTGCATAAATAAATCAATTTCAAAATAAAGAATTTCCAATTTCCTTTCTAGGAATAAGGCGAAGCACAAGTTCCTACAGAACTTACAAAACACAATAATCTGTCACCCACATTCTGCCTCGTCACTGTCACACCACAACCAACAGACTAGATCAGCACCTATAAATATAACAATGTCCAAGTGAAGACATAGGGACAGGGGCAGAGAAGACAGAACAGACAAGATGAAGCCCACGGGGAACTCGAGCATCTCACAGCAATCATGGTACTGACAGGATCCTCTTTCATGCCACATCCTACCCAACAGTTACAGTGACATAGAATTCTTCCAAGGTCTTTTCAATGTTGCTTGGTGAGATGTAAGAATGTAAGGGCTGGTAGGATATTCTGTGGTTGAGTATATGTAAGTACTTTGGATAATATGGTATGATTATTGAAAGCTTCATCATATCTGTACAAAACATTGTGATGGTCAGACCCAACAATACATGATGACATCATCAGAACGATCTAAAAATATCAAGCTTAAATAAGGTTTAACCCAGTGTTAAAAATAAGTCCAAATTTCATATCTAGTGACTAAACAACGTATGTTCATTATACAAGTGATGGTGTGTGTTTTAAATGATTAAATAAGCAGTTTGTGAAGTTATTATTGTTGACTTATATTAATCAGAACTGACTACAAAATATAAAGAATTTAAGGCAGTTCTTAATAACCCAGAAAAAGATTGATTTATTCATTAAGATTCCTACCTTTCTACCTGTGTAAGAACATTAAATTGAGCTTGATTGTTTTCTAAAACTTAACCTAGAAGACCATCTATTTAACCTTAACTATATGGTACAAACGAGGCAATAAATTAACAACACAATAATTGGCAAAAGCATACATAGTGAGTATTGTGTTTTGCAGGTAATCTCTGGTGTCAAATGTCTTCCTGATAGGAAACAACAAGGAAGTAATCACATGACTGAACAGTGTGCTTAATCTTTCATGAAGTGTGAGACATCCATGGTAACACATGGTGTGTGTGTGTGTCTCCGTGTGTGTGTGTCTCCGTGTGTGTGTGTGTGTGTGTGTGTGTGTGTGTGTGTGAAATAAGGGCAAAATTTGCCATCTTGAGTGAATGTTTGACAAGACCCTTAGACCATGAGTGAGTGAGTGAGTGAGTGAGTGAGTGATTGAATGAGTATGGTTTCATTAGCAAAATAATCCTGCCATTTATCAGCAGGTCAGCAACAAAGGGTTCTACACTAAGACCATCGAAGAACAGAGTGACAGGAATGATACACCTCCATCACTCTTTCATATGATAGTTTATTATTGCTTGATCCTGCATGACAAGCACAAATCTTAGCCAACCATGTATAAACAATAAATTCTAGCATTGCTCATAAATATACACCACTGAGGCAGAGAATGCATATGTGATGGTATCATATTTATGAAATAATTCTTCGACATGGAGCCAGGAGTGATGAGAATGATCTGGAGACAAATGTCGCTATACACAGCATGGTGAAGTGATGAGGAGTGCAAACAATGGATGCTGAATGTTATAAATAGCAAGTTGTGTAACAAGTGAATGCATTGCACTAGGTAAAGTTTTACACAGTGCTGAAGAACATTTGAATGATAGAATCAATAATTATATAGTATAATAACAATTGAGATGTCAACTGATAGAGGATTGTTCACAAAATCAATTAAATTTTCTTTCAGATTGCACATGGCCAAACCACAATGACTTAATTCACAATGTACATAAGTACATTTGGGACAGGTGGATTTACATGATTAAACGAAAGCTAGATCTTATGTATGCCAATAGGCTTACTAGTAAGTATTCCAATAACAACTGAAATATGATTTCATCCATTCAGAAGTAGTTCTTATATACAGTTCAAGGTAATATACATAATATATCCTTCTTTGAGAAAAGTAAATGGACATGTCTCCCGCAAACAGGGAAGTGTTTATGTGATGAGAAGAAGCAAACAAGTCTGTAAAAAACTTGTATCCTGTTAAAGATGAATGGTGTAAGAGCATGACATTGTGTTAGGTGGCTAGGTCACCTCTTTTAGATCAATATTACCTAACAGCGCACTGAATGAGCTTATTCATGCATGCTGGCGACGAACAATGCCTATACAACAGCTGCGAGATTATCTTTCAGACTTGGTGCACACAGCCACTAGATATTTGTTTGTGTGTGTAATGCCGCGCTTAGCAATATTCCAGCGATACAATAGCAGCCCGGACCCAACAATCTGGTGATCGATATTATGAGCAACAATCTACATCATTTGGTATGATGACACACAATCAGCCAAATTACCCATAGAACAAGCATAGATTGCTGGAAACCTTATTCTAATATGGAACCGCCCATGGGGACAGCTGTCAGTCATAGAGTCCGGTTGTATGCTTTGACAACAACAAGTGATAAACAATTTCATCATTTTGCAGTTTGTGAATAACCGTTCCTGTGTTATGAAAGATCATACGTGTTTGGCAATTAATCAGTGATAAACAAAGGACTTCCACGCTATTTCAAGTGAGAAACTCTATCTGTCATTCCTTGGAGTATCAGTGTCACATTTCTGACACAATCTGCCAATACAGTTACAGCAGAAATATTCAACATTCAGCTCGACTGACAGCTCGGAAAATTGCACATTAAAATTTGCACTGGTACACTGACTTAATTTCACAAACTTACTACTTGATAAGTCCTGATAAGAAAAACATGCAATCGTTATCAGACACAGCAAATACTTTATGGTACGGGTTTAACCAAAAAAACCACTATCAGATGTCGATTTCTACAAAATCAAACTCAATTGACTAATAACAAATAGACACATATTCATCACAAATCTCTGCCAGAAATCATATGACTTAACCTGACTATACTCCTGGACTTTAAATAAGGAAATTCCTGTGTCAATGTAGATGTATGTTCCAGGTTCTTCACATTAAATATTAAAAAATATGTTTTTCAAGCAGAGCTGCTGCATTCTGCCTGTTAACCTGTTTGTAGTTAAGTGCGGCACAGCCTTCTTGTCAACCCAGGGTGCACCATCGGTACCTACCAGCATGCATCAGCTGGTGGATTTGTCACCTTGCAAATATCCATTATTATTATTATTATTATTATTGTTTTTGTACCCAGTCACATAGCGCAGGTTGCTGCGATGACCCAAAGAGCTGCAGTAACCCAATCTCGAATTACACTGCCATATATAACTGGCATCCTCATCCCTCACAATTACATCTTCAATATGACAATGTCATATCAGTTCATTATACTACAGATCAGCCTCAGTTACCCTTGGTGTTCATCATAATAGACTGGAGACATAGTACACTGGACAATCAAGGATGATAACAAATCTACATCAATGCCAGTGTCCAGCAACATGTCCAGAACTTGCGCCTCTCTTCACGTTCTCCCATGTTCCTCCATACATTCAAGGCATCAGCCTGACTGATATAATCAAGTTTACACTGCTAGCTCCACACAGTGCATATCCAGTCAGATGTTCATATTCTGCTGAGAAACTCTCACACCAATATACACAGGATTTTGTGAAAAGTCTTTCCAATCATTTCATTCCAGCATTTTTGATTAAAAGTTCTTGTGATAAACATTTAACCACATTAAGTCAGCTAAATCTTCTTGCATACCGACGTCTGGAATATATCGCAAGTAAAATCATTTTGGGAAGACTGAGGTGTTACCTACACATTACTTCTACACAATTTGACTGCACATAATAACACCATTTCAATAGCAAGCCATAAGAATATGATCAATATTTTTTCTCCTGAACTGGAGTAGATGTAAGGAATGAAGTTTAAAACCAAACATCCATGACTCCAGGGTTACAAGTCTTGTCTTCCTGCGATGTGCTGGCGCGTCGGACTGGCCAGACTACTTCCTGGATGAAATTGTCCCAGTGGCATTCTTACGTCGGGCAGCCAACATATCGTAGAAGGGATTGTCGTTAATACTCATCCTGAAAAGAAACAAATTACATTTTAGGCCATATTTACATCACTTATAAAAAATAAATAGATGACCAAATTTAGTCAAATACAGTTGGAACAAATTCAGTCGTGACAAAGATGTTTGCCACACACACCAATAGTGAGTGAGTAAGTGATCATTGTTTAATTCTGCATCAGCAATGTTGTAGGCGTTCACAGCAACATAAATAGTAACACCATTCTGGGGAATGGGAACTAACGTGTATCCAATCTCCAATTTATTACTATTCTCCATTCCTCTTACGACAAGCATAGTCACCTATCCTACCCCGCACCCAAAGTGACCCCCTGTGGAGGGTTTGCCAGATCTGGCAGAGAGAGTGAGTGAGTGAGTTGGTTTAACGCCGCTTTTAACAGTATTCCAGTTATATCACAGAGTGTCAGCTTAATGTGGGAGGAAAGCCCGAAGGGATGCAGGCCTCAGACGTTTACCACTTCAGTGATACCCACGAGCACGGGTATGGTGCTGACAAATCTAGAAACATAATCGGGGCGAACCGGGATAAAAAATATTTTCTCGATTCTCAGACACTTATCAGTACGATCAGTAAGAACACAATGAATTGTGATCTATTCAATACTGTAAATCTTAAATGAGGAGACGTGGAGATTGTGATTTCACTATCGACATGCAGCTATGGTGTAGAATGGTCCAGGGTATTCATCACCATAGAATGGAGATGTAACAGCCTGGACAAAGGAGGACTGAGTTACTACTGAGTCCCACACACTACAAGTATTCCCCTCACTCACTTGATGCATCGGATCCATTCCTCCTTCTCCTCGGTGTTGCTGGCAGACATGCGGTATACAGTGTGACGACCTGGAATCAACAATTATACATTAATATGAGATCACTGTCTCCCTTTACCTTTACCTGGCTCCAGGGGACTCAAAGCCTTTAATTGTAGGGGTCCTAGGTTAAAAACTGAAGTGCCAAGCTTCAACATGGAGATAGAGAAGAAATGTCGAACACTGAATACAATACTCTTCTAGAAATTTACATAAGGTTATGCATGCTCAGAGAATGGTACTTAATAATAGATATGGAGTTCCTCAGATGAAATAAATTCACAAGTATCAATGCAAGAAAATCATGAATCATTCAACTCCATATTCAATAATAATCCTTATCAACACTAAAATCTATTAAACTAAGACTCTTCGACTCAAATATTCACAAGTTCACAGTTTTTTTTCAAGGTGCTGAAGGCAAACAAACAAAATTCAAAACATGGCAAAGCTCGTACCTTCCACCACTTTACCATCACCATCAACTTTACAAGCCTTGATAATGTCGTTGCCCCCTGAGTAGAGTTCGAAGCAGTTGGGCTTGTTGGCTTTATCCTGGGGTACCTCTCGTACCTGGATGTTCTCCAAGGGGATGATACCTTTTGGTTCCTTGTCCTGGCAAATCAACGTTTATCACACTCATTACTCAAGCACTGAAACTGTTAGTCCAAATTCCTAGTATTCCACTCTAGGTAACGCATACTTATCATCAGGGTTCTGAGAATCTCCATTTTTCTTCTTATTATGATAGCTTGATGTTTTTACCAAAACAGATTAAAAACTATTCCAGAAGTGACCTACCGTAGTATACTGGAAGTAGTACAGGCAATTGTCATTCAGGATAAACCAACGCCTCTTCCAATTCTTGTAGCGACCACCTGCAACAGAACAAAGGATCAGGTGAAAAGAAGAGAACATTTCTAAAAAAAATGACAAGTTTGAATGCAGATGTTATCAATGAATTATCTCCCTTTGATATGTAAATTGTCTCCCTTTGACAGTCTGGTTGATGCAATGCTGAAACATAATCGATAAAATCTGATATGAGTAAGTTTAATTCCATGACCGTCTACTTGCATTTACTAAACACATTTATTAAAATTTACGTAAGCAAGATCTACTTTATGCCATCGTACATTATTTATTTGACCGTTGTCCCACTGCTTCAACCATGTTGATAATGATGATACTTGCAAACAGAAACATGAGGAAAGAGGTTGCTATTTGCTTCATGCATATATTCTGGTCTTAATCAGGGTCAATCCCGATGTCCGGGTCAAAGCAGAAACTCTGGGTTGGGTTGAAGAAGCCATGATTATAAAGGCAACTACAAGCAGCAATCATGCTGAATTACTTCTTGAGAAGCATTGACTTGTAGCTAATTCTGCTGTGGCGACATGCGACTAATCCTGTCTGAATACTCTCTAATCAATCAGAAACTGGCATAAACAGAGGAAGATAGCTGCCCATGAGATCCGTGACTCAGGCTAATGCTGGTCTGCACATACAGAAATAATACTTGTGAGTGAGGGAATGGGGTTAACGTCACATTCAGCAATGCCAGAGGTATGTCAAGGTATCCTGCAATCTCATTAAAATCAGATCTAAGTTCTCGCTGCTGCTAAACAAAGAGCTGAGGACATCCCATTATGGGTCACATCAGAACGGCCTTTGACTGACCACTGAAATGACTAACAAGAAGTCGATATCAGCCAATTAGAAAGCAGCGTTCTCGAGCTTTACAGTGCTCACTCGTTTCAACCTGGCAACTTCCATTTCAGACTATGCTTGAAAAATATGTTGACACAGTTCTCGATTAAAATTTTGAAAACTGAACAAATGAACATTCCGGAATGTCTAATATATGGTTGAGATTGTATGGCAGTGCTTCCCACGTACTGTGCAACACCTCTTCCGTTCTGTTTATCCCACGGAAGCGAAAGATAGACGATAATTTTGACGGAATCAGCCGTACGGGCCGTAACTGTCGTTCGGAATACACCGTGTTAACGTTTTCGAGTTTGCATGATTAGAAAACACATTCCGACTTTCACTTTCATGATCTGGTAAGCCACGCTTTGATTGGTCGGATGAAAGGTCGTTCTGACATGACCCCTAATGGGGTGTCCTCCGATCTTTGTTTAGCGATAGCGAGAACTAAGACCTGATTTTAATGATGTTGAGGTATCCTGGTACACTTACGATGCTCTGGCACAGGGTAACCAAGGTAATGAGCATTGTCACTTCCAAGTTCAATGACACACTCATCAGACTTTGTTCTGGCCAACCAACTCCGTCTTGCAGCAAGACACTCAGGTGTGGTACTGGCTACACCTAAGGCTATGCTTCATTTCACACTTCCATTGTGTTAATTAAATGATACATTGATTATGTCTTGAACTGGTTAGCCTGGGTTAATAACTCTATACACTTTACGAGTATGACAATACACTAATCAGTGATGGTTGATCTTCCAAAGTAGTCGGGGCGGTCGGTTAGCCTAGTGCTTAAAGCATTCGCTCGTCACGCCGAAGATCCGGGTCAACATTGGGGCTGCACCTTCCAATATTACAGCTATATGACAGCGGACTGTAAATAATTGAGTCTGGACCAGACAATGCAGTGACTGAAATAATAAGCATTGATCTACTCAATTGGGATACGATGACATGCATCAATCATGTCAGCGAGCCTGACCACCCAATCCCGTTAGTCGCCTGTTACAGCAAGCATGGGTTGCTGAAGACCAATTCTAACGTCTAACTCTGAACAAAGGACAGTATGTTCATACTGCAACTACATGACTGCTGAGAGCTCTGCTATGAATGTCAACATGAGTTGATGTGTGCATATTTCCACACAGGAAGTTCTTGTGTTGGAGCTCATAAGCCAGGAACTGTTACACTGAAGGGAAACACATCTGTTCAGCTGTCAAAAAAGCCATTTCTAAATAAAATAACAGGTATAAAAATAATTAAATCGCGAGTATTCAGATGGAATTCAAACCCGAATAAAATCATAAATATTATTTGGGGCATAAAAGAAAAGAAAAAAATATTTTCTCAGTTCTCAGACATACTTGAGTATGATCAGTAAGAATACATATGATGGTGCTCTATTCAATATCTTTACAAAAGGGTAAGGTTGGCCACTTGGTTGCCCCAAAAAGCAGGCCACCAACCTTTCAACAATCCATATGTCCTTGGCTGAAAACCAACTGTTCTTATTTCTTCTTCCGAAACAAAAACACATCCACAGAATAAATGCATAAAAAAAGACTTAATAACATGAACACGTGGAGACGAAGTAGGGATGTCTGTGATGGTTGCAAGAAGGAGTATGACGGACAGAGAGAAGTAATGGATGTGATGGAAGAAGTAGAAAAGTGGACAGAAGATGGAGAAACCGATGGACACAGTAAGAACTGTAGCAGAAGACTGATGCATTGTCAATCAGGCTTTGTGAATGGACACTTACTCAGCTTAGCCGTACCTGTAGCCCCAACATAAAAACACAGCAAATAAAAAGATAGTTCAAACAATGTCCAAAACAAACTCGAGAAGCAGATTCAAACATACGTCCAGCTCAAAGTGACAGGTGTATGAGCTATTTTTGAACTCATGTTAGGTCAGTGTGGCAGTGGGCTGGGAGTTTGTGATGCATGTTTGGAAATGTTTATCACACACAAAGATTATATACGGTATACGCTTATATATATAAATATATCATATGCCATGACATTCAAGGGTAATTTAAGCATACACAAGTCAATGCATATGAACATAGATATGGGGCTATTGTTAGTGTGGTGGTCTATAAAAAACAAAACGATGTGAATGTGAAACAGTATTCATCATTTGTTTTAAAGCTTTTACAACGGTTGCCAAATTCAAGTCCTTTGAAGCCTGAGCGAACCTAAAGAAATCAAAAGGCAGAAAAGCAGATCATGGTCAAATGCTACAACAGAAAGATCTACAATAAAATCTACAAAAATGAACCATTCTTCAAAAGTAGGTCAATGTGACCAACTTTTCATATGAAGGATTTACTGCCCGCAAGGTCCAATAACACACTGGACAAGTTGACTGGTGAATACTCGGAGAGAACAGCACACCAATAGCTGGTACTGGTAAGTATATCACAGACATTTAGACAGGTACAGAAGGTTAGCCATCCCAAACATGAAGTCATACTTCTATCTGATCAGTTCTCTCAGAAAGACCTTCACCATGTGCACTATGACCCTGACCTTGACCTTTGCCAGATCACTTCCAATTTTAGAGCCATATCCCAAAGAAGAAAGGAGCCATGTTTCTCAGGTGCATGTTGAGAGTTTGAAGTTACACGAGTTGTAGATGATGTAAGTTGCACCGGGTGAACAATCCTTCAAAACTCTGATGGAAGCATGGCTCATTCTAAACTTTGTAATCCCTTACAAGAAGTTAACACTAGGATGTAACAGTCAAGGTATTGCTTCTTTTACTCATGAAAAATAGGTTACAGTGACCTAATACACATTTCAAGAGGAGGCCAGCACGCAGAAAGACATAAGATTTGTATGCTTCTTTGTTTGTTTGTTTAAAGCTGCACACAGCAATATTCCAGCAATATGACGATGATCTGACCAGACAATCCAGTGCTTGACATCATGAGCATCGATACACGCAATTGGGATACGATGACATGCATCAACCAAGTCAGCAAGCCTGACCACCCGATCCTGTTAGTCGCCTTCTACGACAAGCATGGATTGCTGAAGACCTTCATGGGTGTCAAACATAAGAAGAAAAAGATACGTCAGGTAACCTATGCCGGCAATGTCCATGCCCATCCATGATTTCAAAATGCACCAAAGATATACAAGTAAGAAATCTGATGGGGCTTCAGTCTCTGCCCTAACAGCAACATGTTCTTCATCATGAGCTTTCTTAACATCCTTAGATCCTGGTTCGACCCAATTATGTTTCTAGGTTTGTCAGCACCATACCCGTGCTCGTGGGTTTCACCGAAGTGGTAAACGTCTGAGACCTGCATCACTTCGGTCTTTCCGCTCACATTAAGCTGACACACCGCGATATAACTGGAATACTGTTAAAAGCGGTGTTAAAATCAACTCAATAACTCTTAACATCCTTCTTTGGCTGAAGGCCTTTAGAGAAACCTGACCTTTGATAAAAAATGTTCATCCTATTTAAGACTTTTTAATGGTTATGTATTAGATACACTAACCATGAGGGCCTAAAGAAGTCCCAAAACTTGTGGCTACAAAAACCAATACAACTTCCTCTGTCCTGATGAGGCAACTGAATAATCCAATAGCTATACTAACTATCGCTCTTAACTTCCTTTCCTCAAGCTGTAAATTTCTTCAGGAAATGTAACCTGCAAAGGGTTTCAATACATTTCTAATGTATTTGTGATGTTAAGAGAAGATATGGGTCCTCCTCACAAAAGCGCAATTATTTCCACCAGGAGACAAGTATACAGTGTTAGTTCACAGTAATACAGAAGGGTGTTACAGTGATGCAGTGTTACAGTATAGTGTTACAGTGTTACAGTTCTACAGTGCTGCAGTCCTGGCTCAACTCATGCAGTCAGTTCAGTATGCGGCGGTGGTCTGAGATATGAAGAAAGGTGTAGTAGACTACTGAAGGGTGTATAGAGTGTTGTCAGGGAAACGCCTCACTGGCTCCGTTACAGGAAACATCCATCCAGGGGACATGCTGGCTCACACTAACATCCATACAAACAACACCATTCTTTGATCATTGTTAATCACACTGGATATATTTTGAAAGTCATTATCAAGCACAATTAATAGAATTCGACTTAATGTGAACCATTCTTGAAAGGACAATAGTATAGGACTGAAACAAATCCACGGTCACTTTGCCAATATCATACTTGCCAAAATAAAATATGATGGGCCATATTTAGGTGTCATTTATTTTAATTAATTAATTTATTTTCGACTAAATATGGGGAATCCTCGGTCCTTGGGATTTACTAATATACTATTCAAATATACCTTTTCTTATCCAAAACTAACAAAACTTAAAGTTTGTTGTTTAATGCTGCAATCAGCAATATTACCACTATATGATGGCAGCCTGTAAATAATCAAGTCTGGACCAGAGAATCTGGTGATTGATATTTGGAACAATCCACGCCATCGGGGTATGATGACACGCTATCAACCAAGCCAACCTGACCCCCCGATCCATTTGTCCTGCATTGGTTGCTGGGGACCAATGCTACAGTCCTTGCCACTAGAAATAGACTCACGAAATATCGAAAACAATAATCAACAAAGATAGATCATGTGCGCTAACTAATACTCAAAGTGAAAACAAGCCATTCCACCGATAAGGAATATTACTTACAAGAATGAAAACAATTGCAATGTGTACATTTCAAGAAATGTCAAATTTCTTAGCATTAAACATCATCATGGAGTTTGGGTCACTTGGTTACAATCTGAACGAGGATCAGCAGTCAGGCGACTGCGAGCAACTATATTTACCAGCATGTAAGTGCATGTAAATTACAAGCACGAAACTGAAAGAAAGACACGAGCAGATGTAGTACCGGTATTTAAAGCACAATTGACCAAGGTCATTGCTAAATATAACCTCTTGCAGTCACCTGACTGTCTATTCTTTCCTGGATTGAAACCACGTGATCAAAACTCAATGATGTAAACTCAATGATGCAAGCACACTTTGCAATTTTTTTCATTGCTGTGAGTAATATTCCTATTGGCGGAATGGCTTGTTTTTACGAAATAAGTTTTAGCACCTATGTAGCTATCTATGTTAATTAATGATCACAAAGTTACGTGATTCTATTTCAAGTGGTGGGGACTATGTTGTCATGACAAGTACAAGGTGTGGTAATATGTATCATATTGGGACTGGGGTGTATTGTTTCAGCCCTATAATATTGCGCTTGTATTTAAAGGAACAAATTGATACACGTAAGCTGACGAAGCTACTAGAACATGACCCTGACCTTGCTTCCACAGCCAGCCCTCCTTGACTGGGTTGAAGAACGTGTGCATCAAATCATTCCCATCATCTTCTGGGATCTTGAATGGCTCCTTCTTGATGTTGTCGTACAAACTCTGGAACAATATTTGAAGTTCCATGACAGGTGTCATGTGTACCGTATCATACTACAGCCTTGAGTTAATGACATACATGTGGTTTGTTTATATATTTGTTTAATGCCGCACTCAGCAATATTCCAGCTATATGACAGCGGTCTGTAAATAATCAAATCTGGACCAGACAATCCAGTGATTGACATCATGAGCATAGATCCACGCAATTGAAATCGATGACATGCATCAACCAAGTCAGCAAGCCTGACCACCCAACCCTGTTACTCGCCTCTTACGACAAGCATAGTCGCCTTTTAGAGCAAATATAGGTTGCTGAAGACCTATTCTACCCCGGATCTTCACGGGTCGACATAAATGTGGTTTGTCTTCATAAATTTAAATGAAATTAATTCCACTGCTTTGAATAACTCATATTTTCTCAGTCTTACATCCATCTTAAATCTAAATACAGAAAACAAGAAGATGAAGTCATCTATATCCCCCACCCACTGTCCAATCTTAAAGTCAATCATATGTGCAATCAAATGTGACATTGTCAATTATCAGTGTGTCCACCTGCTTGTGGAAGAGGTAGAATACATGAGCTACAGTATAACATCTCCATTAAACTTTGTACAAATAGTAAGACTTTAATGATAAACAAAGGTTATAATCATCTTCCAGTATGTCAAGGCTAAGAATATTTTGTATCCCTGAGCACTTTTGGATGAATTGTATTGTAGAGCATTGTTAAACTGATAGGTATTGTTACAGCCCTTTATGGATAGTTATCAGAGTAAGGAATATGATACAGAAAGTCCTCATTAATAAAAATTTATATAACATAAAAGAAATTTTTTGAGGAATCATCAATAGCAAAAGGCACATCTACACCATATGGTGAATGTGTGTATCAAGTTTTATAAAGATGTTTTCGAGTTCTGCTCCGAATATGAAACTTTGTCCAAATTTTTAAAAATCATATGAAATATATTTAAAATGCAGGGGAAACCTAAATTGCAAAAAGCACATCTACGCCATATGGTGAATGTGTGTTCCAAGTTTTGTAAAATTATCTCTCATGGTTTCCGAGTTCTGCTCCAGGATAGAAACGTGACAGACGGATGGACAGATGGAGCCGGTTTCTATATCCCCCACCAACTTTGTTGGAGAGGTAGATAGTTATAAACAAGTTTGCAAAGAACTGTTACACCCAACAATGTTGAAATGCATTTATATGTGAAATTGTCTATGTACAAATGACATGGGTTATCACTAACTATCAGGGAAGAACAGCCTCGGGGAAGCAGCTACTATTAATGTTTATAATCTCAGACACAGATCGGAAAATGTGTCCTCTGGTCTAATAACCTAGACCCTTCACCTTGGTAAAATAGGACACACTTCTCCATGCCCGGAAGTATTCTTCCCTGAGTAATTAAAGTATCCTTCAGGCTAGAATACATTTCTAATGTCCAGGAGTTTGCCTTCAGGTTACCATTATTCACGCAAGTGCTGAGTGACTTCCACATTCTTCACTCTCAGTGGCTGAATATAATATTACACCATGTTCAGCAACATTCCAGCACGTTCAGCAACATTCCAGCCATATCAATGTCACGGGACACAGAAATGGGCTTCCTGTTTTACCTATATGGAGACTAAAACCCTTGTCATCACTGTGACAAGCACACCACATCCTAAACGCAGAGTGAATATCGTTTTCCATCACAGCAATATCTTAACCAAATCACTATCACCCTTAAGTTATAAAGTCTGAGCCAGACAGTCCACAGACTGACAGCATGAGCAACAATTCCTGACACACAATCAGCCAGGTCTCATCTAACCACCCAATCCTCATTAGTCCTATGGTTAAAGCGTTCGCTCGTCACGCCGAAGACCCAGGTTCAATTCCCGACATGGGTACAATGTGTGAAGCCCATTTCTGGTGTCCCCCGCCGTGATATTGCTGGAATATTGCTAAAAGCGGCGTAAAACCATACTCACTCACTCACTCACTGACAATCATGGGATAACGGCAGCCCATTCTGCCATACAATCCACAGGTTACACAATCTCATGAAGGTTACGTACAACAAGTAAGTCTTCTGGCAGGTCCCCGCCATCGTTGATGCCCCGATTCATCTGAATGAATCTCTCGGCTGTGGGTTTGTCCTTGACACTGGGGTTGTGTAAGCTGGTGTTCAGCATGATGATAGCGAAGGACAGCACATAGCATGTGTCTGAAATACAACAGCATGGTCAGTCACAGGCTGAGGACATCACCATGGACATAGTTTACCTGTGGCAGTGATTGTTTGTACAGTCTGTGTAAACACTAGCCCAACCTGCCGGAACTTCTCATGTCTGTAGTAAACTTGGCTGTATCAGTGTTACTTGATTGAATGTAGGAACCATGAGCAGGGTCTTACCTCTGGAGCACCCTCAGTTAACCAGTGTATCATATCTCTATTTTATTATCATAAATACCATGGACCCGTTCCACAAAGTGAGGGCAGAGCTACAACCATCGTAAGTCTATGTTAAAGATTGGGAATTACGATCCTCCTACTGCTACGACTTTCGTAAGTCTATGTTTAAGAATGGGAGTTACGATCCTCTTAGCACTACGACTTTTGTAAGTCTATGTTAAAGAATGGGAGTTACGATTCTCTTGGTGCTTCAACTTTGGTAAGTCTATGTTAAAGAATGGGAGTTATGATCCTCTTAGTTATACAACCATTGTAAGTCTATGTTAAAAAATGGCAGTTACGGGTCTCCTTGTGCTTCAACTTTCGTAAGTCTATGTTAAAAAACGGGAGTTATGATCCTCTTAGTTATACAACCATTGTAAGTCTATGTTAAAAAATGGCAGTTACGGGTCTCTTAGTGCTTCAACTTTCGTAAGTCTATGTTAAAGAATGGGAGTAATGATCCTCTTAGTTATACAACCATTGTAAGTCTATGTTAAAAAATGGGAGTTACGGGTCTCTTAGTGCTTCAACTTTCTTAAGTCTATGTTAAAGAACAGGAGTTACGATCCTCTCACTACAACGACTTTTTTACGATTCTCTTAGTGCTACGACTTTCGTAAGTATATGTTAAAGAATTGGAGCTACCATCCCCTTAGTAATAAACCATTGTAAGTCTATGTTAAAGAATGGGAGTTACGATTGTATTAGTGCTATCACTCTTGTAAGTCTCTGTTAAAGAATGGGAGTTACGATCTTCTTAGTGCTACGGCTTTTGAAAATCTATGTTAAAGAATGGGAGTTACAATCCTCTTACTACGACATTCTTATGATTCTCTTAGTGCTACGATCATTTTGTGGAACAGGGCTCTGGACCTCTGTTTTGAGTCAGGTTCAAATGACATGAAGCTAAAACTAACAGTCTCATCAAATAACTCTTTCAAGATTGAAACAATTACATATTTCAATGGCTCTCTCATTTGAGGGCCACAATTTTGAATATGGTTAACTCTTGTTTCAAAGGGGCATTTTGATTGGTTGTTGATTGCAAGCTGACAAGTGAGAGAAGTCTATGCTAAGTTAGTGATAAGAGAAATGAAGATTATGACATCACTTCCAAACTGAAACTGTGGTAGCCCATAGGTACAGAGTATATATCTTAATTGAATGAAGATAACATGCCTCCAGAGTATCTTAAGGGTCCATATGAGAAATGAGGTCCAGCCATTCTACACAAAGACTACACTGTATGCACTAAATTCTGACATACAAAATGGCTTAAATTTAACAAACTTGATTAATAAAAGCAGTGTTTATTGGGACTGGGACTGGGACTGGGACTGTTCAAACCACCAATACAAATAATTAATATTTTAGTGTCCAAACAATACCTTTTTTGCTAGTAGACGCATACTAGTCTATTGCAGTAAACCCATTTAATAGAAAAATCAACCATCATGAACATTCTTCATCTAAAACTTTTATCTTGAATAACATTTCAAATCAAATCATCCAGTACTTTTTTAAGAAGTTATTTGTCATATGTACATTGTATAGTCAACACAAAAGTAATACATGTAAAACAAGCCAGTATGTACCAGTGCTGGTGAAGACGCCTTGATTCATCTCGCAGTATCGCTCGGCAAAACATTCCATCATCCGATCAATCTTCTGGGCTTCGCCTGGAAGGCGGAAACTCCACAGGAACTGTCTGTACACAACAATACAGTGAGTGAGTGAGTGAATGTTGTTTAACAATGCAGTCAGTACAAACACTACACAGTGAGTTACTACTGTATTCATACTTTCATATCAGAATCAAAACAAACATATTCATGACAATGCTGGTGAGGACTCTCTGCAGTATCATCACATTAGTTGTTGGGAGTATCAAGTCTTGACATTACTATTGTTGGCCATATGTAGATAGTAAAATAGGTGTTGGGAGTATCAAGTCTTGACATTACTATTGTTGGCCATATGTAGATAGTAGAATAGGTGTTGGTGGTATAAACATATTAGAAAAGACATTGGCTGTATCAAGATATTAGATTAACTGTTGGTTGCATCAAGATGTCAGTGTATATGTTGCCATGAAAGCAATGTTGCTATGAACAAACAACAAAGAAAGAAAAGTGATATTCACATATATGTGTGATATTGCATTACAGAATGCACCATGAACATTCTCACAACTGATGATAACCTTTATAAATGTACTTATTTCTATACTTTCACTTTACCCATTTGCTTGGGACTGGTACCTGACATAAAGGACTTGATAAGTTTTGTTTGTTTGTTTGTTGTTAAACGTCGCACTCAGCATTATTCCAGCTATTTGACGGCAGTCTGTAAATAATCAAGTTTGGACCAGACAATCCAGTGATTGACATCATGAGCATCGATCCATGCAATTGGGATACAATGACATGCATCAACCAAGTCAGCGAGCCTGACCAACCGATCCCGTTAGTCGCCTCTTACGATGACAAGCATAGTCACCTTTTACAGCAAGCAAGAGTTGCTGAAGACCTACTCTACCCCGGATCTTCACAGGTCAATTTGATAAGTGGAGCATATAGGTTAATCTAAGCATGTTACAGGCTTTTAGTTGATAAATATATTCCCCAAATACACACCATGTGCAAGTGATATATCTGTCTCTATATCCGTGTGGAAGAATACATGCTGTACATCATCCACAACACAGATAGAGCTATCTCTTGTTGACGACACATTAAGAGAACAATCAGCTCCAGAGCCACAGTGTTCAACGTTCTCAAGATAATGCCTCATTCCCAGTGTTCTAACTCTCAGTTTGAACATGCTAGGGGAGGTAACTGCTGGCAATATGTTTGGAACAAACTGATAAACTCGGTTGACTCTGCTCCAAGCGAGACTCATAATTAACACATGCATCGGTAAAATCACAACGTTTATCACCGTTTGGAATGATAACGTTTAAAAGATCTGTTCTTGGCTACGCCTGAAATCTTTTCTGTTTTATAACCAAAAAAATACTCCAGAAACCCATTTTGCCTTCGCCACTGGCACTTGCTCATAAAACATTGAAGAGATGCCATTTATGTGCTTTGTCTTCATAATACTATCTTTAGATAATTTGCACTAGATGATAAGACCTAAGTGCACCTCCAAATTCTTCTTTTTCATGTTATGCTTTTTATCTTCACATCCAGTCTCAACTTCTGGACCAAAATGACAACAGTTCATTAGTGACAGTTGCATTCCTTATTAACAAAATACTAAAGTGAAATATGAACAACCACAATGATAAATTGACATCATTATATGATGAGTCAAACATACTTTGATCTTGTGTTCCACAAAGCAAACTTAATGCTACAACAATCGTAAACCAATGTTAACCAATCACTTTGAACAACTATTATGTCGTTTCTATGGAGTATGCTTCTGAAAACTGAAAAATATACCTGCAATGTCCTCCTTTTACTGTTTTTCGTACAACAAATGTGATACAAGGATTTACTTGGGACTATCTCTTGGGGGACCAAGGCAGTCGATCTGTGTCCAAGAATTTTATTGATATCTTATTGTTGCACATACGAAGAAGCTCTTCAGATTAAGATTTCAATGTTAGTTTGAAGAAAATCAACCACTGACACCCAAAACCTTCAGTGTAATTCTCACCACAATAGAAACATAACATGCATACAATTTTGATAAATTTAATTAATAATTTGTGTTCCATAAAATTCTCTGACAGTTTCTTACCTGAGAGCCTGTACCAGAATCATGTCTGAGAATTCGTGTAGGTTGACAAACGCCTTCAGGACATCCACATTGAACTCATTCCTGCAACACAAGGCATACACTACACATCACACGAAGCAGGGACAACACACTGAATTCCTCCATTGTCTACATCAACAAGTAAACGAGTGCATGCTGTTTTACGTTCCTGTCAGCATAAGAAAACACAACTTTAAGGATAACTTCTGGTTTACCTCATTTTGCGACATTTCGATGAAGGTTTTTACATCTAAACATCACAACATGCAATAAACCAGAACTTGTTATCTATCAAGTTGGACTTTTTCTATTTACTCACTAATGTCTAGAATGCCCACCAAACAGTTACGGTCAAACATTACAGCGACCTGTATATACTCATGGCTTGGTGGCAAACTGGAGGTTGACAGCATGAGCAAGGCGATCCATGTGGCCACCCAATCCTCATTAGTCCATGTTTTCAGAATCGTGGGAACTAATTCAAGCCCAGGTTCACCAGTAATAGGAACGAAAGTAAAACATACATTTGTCCACTTGTCAATATGTATAGAAGACCAAGGTAATACAAACATGACATATTTTCATGCTTAGCTCAAAGCATTGTGGAGAAATACTGATTATATTTTCACTCAAGCTCCAGCAAATAAAAAATGACAGGCCAATAACAGACAACGGACACAGTTTCTGATCACTGACTAAGTTTCCTGGCTATATTATTAAACCAGCGATCTAAGAACCCAAGTTTATATTTCTCAACATTATGAAAACTGTATCTAGCCCTTGACTCTTTCCCTATACGTAAAACACAGCAATCATGTATCCATACAACAGTGTATAAACTGTAACCTTAAACATCCTGCCTGACATGTAACGTCTCACATGTCCCTTCACATGGCGAGTGCAGTCTCAGGTGCTGATATGGACTCAGCAGGACCATTCCCTCTCTGTTACTTCAAACCTGACCCTAGTCAGTCACATTTCACATAGCCATAAGTATATTATATATATAGACTCTGCAAAAATATAGGAAAACTCAAAAGCAAGTCTACATTACTTTGGCTAGTTTCGATTTCTTTAGTGTCAGGTGAAAATGAAGACATTTTTTTCTGCTCCTTTCTATCATAAATTAAAAGATAAATTACCCCCCCCCCTCCCCCCCCAAATTCTCAAAATATCATTATTTTTAGAAATATTAATCTAGCATAAGTATGGTTGGTATATCAGGGGGTTGATGCAATAAAATCAAAAGTTTTCAGAAATGAACGCATGTGATGAGTCCAGTCCAATTTTCAAATAAAACTGAAGTTGAAAAAAGCCCTCCCCCTCAAACGACCTACCTAACCTATTTTTGGATGGGCTGAAACAGGAAACGCAACACCTTTCTAAGTCATGGGGCACAGTGCTAACTGTAAGTAGGAACTTTAAAGAAAAAGTCGTCAATTTGGTAAACATGATTGAAAGGTGTATGAGATATAATGCAGGTGTGATGAGATCCCTCTGATATATCTACAAGGGGAGCCACTGCACACAGCCTCTTCACAGTACACTCCCTTGGGTTTCATAGACTCTCAGACATATTCCCAACAGGACTTTTGAGATGCCCCCTTTCTACAGATGACATAACACATAAGTAAAACAAAACTGGAGTAAATATTTAGGCGAAACGTTGACAGACCTAGTCGATCTTGATGTTTTGACTGATAACCTTAAAACTTCCAACACATATTATGCTGAAGTAACTCTGAACTCTTCACACAATCTGGCATCGTAATTCATTTTCTTTATCTGAGATGAAATAAATCTTTGGTTCTTATGATATTTCTTGACTTGGCTCCAAACGATGCATCAAAGCTGCGAACCCCAGGTCAGGCCCAGCCCATCAAGTGGGGGTAAATATTTACCAATTCCTCCCATAATGCATACTACTGTCATACCACTGCATTCAGCGGGGACACAACCTGGCTTTGGCCTGCTAGCTGAGCCAGTTATCTAATGTTGAAAGTATCCTAAGGACCAGAAGATTTTCAGACTTTTTTAGAGGTGTTGTTATACATGTCATCACCACCGTTCGGGCTAAAAGCGTTTCAGGTCAAGTTGCATCCCTTGTTCAGTGAGTGAGTGAGTTTGATTTTACGCCGCTTTTAGCAATATTCCAGCAATATCACGGCGGGGGACACCAGAAATGGGCTTCACACATTGTACCCATGTCGGGAATTGAACCTGGGTCCTCGGCATGATGAGCAAACACTTTAACCACTGGGCTACCCCCACATGTCCATGATCAGTGAGCAAGTATGGATAAGCCACTTAGCAATATCTAGTGGAAACCAATAATGGCTTTAAACATTGTATATTGTTTGAAATTGAGGATGGAAGTGATTGGTTCTTTATCATTATCCCAGTGTCTACAATTAAAAGATTTACGGTATCCCTAGATTCAAAACTATAACAGTATACCTCAAGGCCCCTAGGACTAGGGCTGAGACAGATAACTCGGGTACTCGGGTTGGGTGGATACTGAGTAGGACCCGGGTATGGTCGGGTATTAGGGGTTGGGTACCCGGGTAATAAATTTTGACTCGTCCCAGCCCTACCTAGGACCCTACTGAACTTTGAACACTGTTGTACCAATGGGGGGAATTGAACCCAGAGTGGAACCTTTAAAGACTTGGTTGCCTCATGTTCCCATAAACAGTGACCTCAACCCCCAAACCACACACAAAAAGACATACACAAAACTGCAATTTGATAGCTTTATCATTTAAGATTATGCATCTTCCCGAGGCGAGGGAGCTAACCAACATTAAAATTTCAGTTTCCACCCTTGCTGAACTAGGCTCAATTATGGAGTTATATTTTGGGTGGACTGAGTTTATGCATAGTCCAATCAAAATCCCGTATTGAAATCGACATCCAGTACATAAACAACATTGCAACCACCATGCCGAATTTGTTCGATTAAAGGATTTGCAGAGCATGTGTACTGTCAACTGGGCGTCAACAGATATTTCTCTTATCTTTTCATGTTTTTAACCAAGGTGCTCAAGTGTTTTGATAAAGATCGTTATTATTGATGAAATAGTCTAGGCTGGGTGCCACTATTTTGTTTAAAGCAAGTGCAAGAGATGTGGGAGGTGGAATCTGATTGGTCAGAAGTGGGAACATAGAAGGGATATAACACATAACAGGCACTGGTGGCGCAACAATAGAGCCAAGAAATTCCAGCCTAGTTCGGCAAGGGTGGAAACAGGACTTTTACGGTCAGTTAACACTCTTGCCTCGGGAAGATACTACCAGCACACTTGCACAAAATAATCTTAAATTGATTTCAACTCCATATGCTGGAGTATGATTTTCCGCAACTCTGCAGTGATTGTACCCATCAGTACAGCTTTCCCAAACCTATTCTTTTGTTCTGATCCACAAGCTCTAAAACTAATCCTTCCAATGACCATTTTTCAATAAAAATAAAGTTTCACCTCAGGCAAGACAGAAAATATCACTCATTAACCAGAAACCTGTTATTAAAATAAATATCTAGAAGGCCTTCCAGCTGAAAAGGTTTTGCTTCTGTTCACAAACCATTATTGTAAAGAAATGGTAACCACTAAGATTGTGGAAATATTTGCGCTATCCGAACAGATCCTATGGATACACAAAGTTCAACAGAACTTATAAAAGTAGGGGTCTCTCACAAGGAAGCATTATCCTCTCTAGGTTGGGATACAACAGCTCCTTCATAAAGACTTAATGATCCCTAATGACACATATATGTTTTGGATAAACTCACTCTGATAAAGCATATTAAGTTTCCAAAATAGTTACGCTTTTAAGAGTCAGCTCTGCAGTCTGCGCTCTGAATAAACACATCACAGCATCACAGGGCAGAAAAAGTTGTTTAAAAGTTTGTTGAGGAATTTTCATGTTTATGTTAAGATTTGAACACATGAAGCCTTTCTCAACCAGAATACCATGTATACTTAGGAAGATGATATAATCTAACAAAGCTTAAATGTCATACAATGATCCACTGGGAGATTACGTGGGATATGCATCACTGCTTGACAAAACACAGGGAGATGTTTTTTTGTGCAGATATCATTAATAACAACAGGAAGCCAGTACTGTTTGAAATGATCATGTTATTCTCTTACATTTTTCAATGCAATGCAACTAATTCTACATCTGTTATTTTCTGAGCAAACAAAGTTAGGGATCATGAACATTTTGGGGGATATTTTCATTAAATTGTATGCTCTGTATTCACTACACTCTCCAAATTTATTCATGATCCCCATCTACCATGTTTTGTCTTCTAGGGCCGAATATTGTTGTTTCATTGATTCAAATAATCAGATTGATTTAAATACCGTATTATCCTCAGCATAATGTGCACCCCCCTCTTGCAGATTCAGTATTTTGGAAAAAATAAATTAGTGTGAGGTAACCCATTACAAAGAAAATGCTGGACCAGGTATGAGGGGCACCAAGGGGCCAGAATTGCTGAAAGTGCAATGTCATATTTTTTTTATGAGGAAGCACTCAGATGAAGCTGGCAAAGAGTAATGGTTGCTGAAAATGGCCAAATCTGTGTTTCTTTAAAACATTAAATTCCAAATTCCAAATTCCAAACCTGTGGATTATTTCCAAACAAAGAATGACACTGCAAGACTGTTCAAAGGACTAGATGAAGACTAATTGAGTTGGTTTTACGCACTTTTAGCAATGTTTCTGCAATATCACGGTTAGGGACCCACAAACCTGGGTCATTAGCATGACAAGCGAACACTTTAACATTGCTACCCTACTGCCCAGGACTGATTTGAACATTCCTAGATGGTGGCCTACTAATTGTGGGTGTCTGGCTAGTGTTACCTCTCTCCCAGGTAGTCTCCGATGGCTGTCTTGTTGAGGCCTTCCCCTTGGAACAAGAAGCGGGCCACATCATCGGCTGTGTCTTGTAGAAGGCTGTGCTCAATCAGGTACTCGATACCCTGAAAACCAAAACAGTCGTGTTAGATGATGGGGAAACAAGTCCGTAAATAAAAATACTTCGTCTGCCAGTGCAAACTTGTCTATAGGAATAGCCTTCAGCAGAGTTTCTGGACAATAACTTGTTAGTTCACCAGCTAAGAATGTCCCAATGGATCCGGTGGTCAGATTCTGAAACTGGGTTGATTGAATGTCTCATAAAATCAATCACTGGATTTCCAGGTCCAGTCTCTATTGTGCAAAGGCAGCCATTATATAGCTGGACTACTTATTGCCAAGTGCAGCATTAAACAACAAACAATATATACAACACCAAGACGACAACAAGACAGGCTTCACACATTGTATTCATGCAATGATTGAAACCAGACCTGGGTAGCAAATATCTTAACCATTATGCCACCATACTGCCTTTTTCAGGTAAAAATATTGTTTGTTTGTTTAACGCCGCACTCAGCAATATTACAGCTACATGACGGCTGTCTGTGAATAATCGAGTCTGGACCAGACAATCCAGTGATTGACATCATGAGCATCCACACAATTGGGATCAATGACATGCATCAACTAAGTTAGTGAATCTGACCACCCGATCCCGTTAGTCGCCTCTTACGACAAGCAGAGTCGCTTTTTACAGCAAGTGGGTTGCTGAAGACCTATTCTACCCCGAATCTTCACGGGTCAGGTCAAAATAGGTTCCTGTTGAAAGAGCTGACCAATGAAGATGTGGTGGTTATATTGTGTGAGCAGGGTGATTGTGTTTGTTTGTTGTTTAACGCCAGCAATATTCCAGCAGTATAATGGCGGTCTGTAAATAATAGAGTCTGGACCAGACAATCCAGTGATTGATGTCATGAGCATGGATCCATGCAATTGAGATCGATGACATGCATCAACCAAGTCAGCGAGCCTTAGCACCCGATCTCGATAGTCGCCTTTTACGACAAGCATGGGTTGCTGAAGACCTATTCTAACCTGGATCTGTCTGAATAGCATGGATTATTCCTCATGCAGTCAACCACTGATTTTTCTGGCTAGATTATTTAGACACTGACGGCTATATCTGGAATATTACTGCAAGATCCTTAAACAACATTCACCCCACACGATCACGCACCAAAGGTTGCACTGTTCCATCATTAATGTACGAAGCAAGACTCCACCCACAAGCCATGGTGCACTGAGCGGTCACACCAGTGCTACACTTTCAGTTCTGTATAAAGTGCTGTCCTAGATTTGCAAGTAGATGATTTATCATAGCAATGTTTCCTGCTTCCAATATATTCCCATACAGCATCACAGCGTAACAGATTCAGATTAGGCCTGGGTTCTATTTGTTGAAGGGAAGCAGTATGCTTCAGCAAAATTATCAGCAAAAAATATATAACAGTTTGTGACTTTAGTCACTCGTCTGATGCCTGGGTCTAGAACAATTCTGTTTAGTCCAGTAAGCTTAACTAACACTAGTCCACATAATAACACTTAAGCCTACTGAAATGTTTGGGCTAGAAGACAAAAATATTTTGGGCACAGAATGATATTATGTATGGAACAGGAAGTAATTTGTTCCAGGGGAAAATTTGAAAACATTTCTCAAACATTTCAAGGGTTTGTTTGTTGTTTAACGCCGCACTCAGCAATATTCCAGCTATTGAGTGTGAAAAGGTTTGGTTCAAGTTCACTGTGAACAAGTAGCAATTGTCACTGCTGGCATTTTGTGCAACATTATTTAATCAATCCTGTATGTAGGCTGACAAAACCACATCAACGAGTGCACCATGTTGACCGATGCACTCTTCATGAGCTGAGTGCAACAGGGGTTTATTATCATAGTCTACACACACCGTGTCCTCCATTTGAACAAACATACATTCTCTGTGCAGCAGCACACAGTCATGGCGGAAGTTGCTATTCAGTATTCATACTGTTGAAAACGGGGTATTAGACCTTTATGTTTTCTAGTATGTTTGGTGTTTAGCAGTATAAGGTAAAATACAACATCTCGTCTATGCTGCACTTAGCTGACAGAAACACTACAATCAAACTATTCCTTGTTCTTCACAATATAAGTAGTGGCTATTTGCTGAAACATTCCTGATGCTACATAAATTTTTCAACTCAATCACTCACACTTCACAAGGCAACATCCTTCATAATATTGGTTTTCCTAAATATTCAGGTTCCATCAAATAATATTTCATATGGTCATTCCTATAATATTTGTTTACAAATATTCCTAAAAACAACAACCAACATTCATATGAACATTGTTGGTTGGTTGGTTGGTTTGTTGTTTAACGCCGCTCTCAGCAATATTCCATCTATATGACGGCAGTCTGTAAATAATCGAGTCTAGTCAACACCAGGCTGTCACAGGGCCCTGTTCATATCTGGACTCCCAGTAGAGGGAAATCATCAGGCTGTCACAGGGCCCTGTTCATATATGGACTCCCAGTACAGGTCAACACCAGGCTGTCACAGGGCCCTGTTCATATCTGGACTCCCAGTAGAGGGAAATCATCAGGCTGTCACAGGGCCCTGTTCATATATGGACTCCCAGTACAGGTCAACACCAGGCTGTCACAGGGCCCTGCTCATATCTGGACTCCCAGTAGAGGGAAACATCAGGCTGTCACAGGGCCCTGTTCATCACAAGATGAAAGGTCACTCCTGTCTTCACTTGTAGTTACAGCTTCACACATACATGCAATAGTAGAAGGTCTGTGACACACTTTAGTTCAGCCCAGACTCAGGAAACCAAGCACACACAGCATACATTCATTACCTGAAGGCTTTCTCATAACATTGAACAAAGACCAAGAGATAAGTAACTGGTTTGTTATGTCTAACATATTTTGTTTTCTTCATTTGACAATTCATTCAAAATTTTCATAACTGAGTTCCAGTCTAAACTTCAAACACTCTAATAAAAGACAATGGATAAATGGCTGGGTAAATGGTTGACTAGACAGAGGAATGGATAAATGGTTGGATAGATGGCTGGGTAAATGGTTGACTAGACAGGAATGGATAAATGGTTGGATAGATGGAGGAATGGATAAATGGTTGATGGATAGAGGAATGGATAAATGGTTGGATAGAGGAATGGATAAATGGTTGGATAGCTAGAGGAATGGATAAATGGTTGACTAGATAGAGGAATGGATAAATGGTTGATGGATAGAGGAATGGATAAATGGTTGACTAGATAGAAGAATGGATAAATGGTTGACTAGATAGAGGAATGGATAAATGGTTGATGGATAGAGGAATGGATAAATGGTTGATGGATAGAGGAATGGATAAATGCTTGGATAGATAGAGTAATGGATAAATAGTTGACTAGATAGAGGAATGGATAAATGGTTGATGGATAGAGGAATGGATAAATGGTTGATGGATAGAGGAATGATAGATGAAAAAATAAATAGCTGGTTAGATAGATGATGGATAGAGGACTGGATAGATCACTGGATAAAAGGATTGGATTGATAAAAAGATTGCTAGATAGTTGGATAGTGTGGTTAGCTGGATAGATGGATGGATTGATAAAAGGATTGATAAATGGCTGGATGGATAAATGACAGGCTGGTTAGATAGATCAAAGAAGGGAAGAAAAGTGAATGATAAGATGGATATACTGATGAATAAGAAAGACAAAAGACAACTAATGAATGAACAAGACATACTAATGAACCAAATAATTTATCTTATGAGGGCTAAAGGTGAAACCTACCAGGTAAACCAGACATGACAGCTCAGAACCTTAGGTTAAAAAGATAATGCTACTTTCATTTAGGAATGCATGACTTCAACGCAGTAAACGACAACAACAATTAGCGAATGTCTTGACACAGATCCTGTACTGGGCGATGTGAGATGTGTCTAGAATATCCTTCCTGCTGAAGCGAGGCGGAACAAAGAGCCATGATGTACGCCACGTCACACTCCTTCACCAGAAATAACGCATCAATGACGCAGGTGTAGTAGGGGGTACAGGAAGGGTTGGTATGAAATGCCCTATCAAGTATAGCCAGGAGAAAAAAATCCTAGGAATTGCCAGGTTAGTTTGCCAAAAAAGTGAAAGCCTAAATCTGATATTACAGTTGGATGGGCATCCCAGATACGCAGGTCAAATATGGCACTAGTTTCCTGAACAGGGCAGAATATCTACTCACTGATCACATATTAGTAATAACTCCAAAGGCCAGATGGTCTATCAATAGCAAGATTGAGGATTCTTTATAGCATATAGTACCTGAAATATAGTTCTGTATAAAATCCTTGTAAAATCATTCTACAAGGGAACCCAAAAGTCTCTAAGAGCTGAGTGAAGGCTAGAAGAGCTGAGAAGGGGATGAGAATTAAATGGTAGTGAATAGTTTATCATATATATGCCCTGGGGTCTGTAAGAAAGACAAAGGATTCTCCAGCATAAGGAGCATGTTTTGGACTCAGATAGTAAAAGAATATTCTTTCATTTTATCATTACAAAATGAACAAGAAAATAACAGTACAGATTGTTTAAAGTTTTTCATTCAAGGAACATGCCCAATCAAATACTGACAAGTCATGCAACCAACAGCGTTAGAAATTAGCACTAGTCCTGTAGTCCTTGCCAAACTGTCCAATAGTTAAGGTATCAAAAGGACTTGTAGAAATGTGCCCTTTTTAAGGGTTTTGCTATATTTTATGATTATAATAAGGACTAGTGGACTAAAACTGTAAGTTTCTATTGCTGACCAACAACAATTGTTATCTTCCAAATACTCACCAATTTTATAAATGTATTTAATAAAACTATAGAAAGTCATAATCAGAGAAACACCTCTAGTTTGATTCTTAAAATAGTGTAGTCGACATGTGCGGGAAACATCCAGTAAATATTGGCAGCAAAGTTGTTCAAGGAATAAAAACAAACCTAATTCACAATAACGAGAGAAGATGATATGCATTTATTTTTTCTCTAAATCTGCTGGGCAATCAAGGAGTAGGTTAATGA